GCCAGTGCCCTGCGTCCCAAGCCCRTGCCCTTTCTGCCTTAGGATACCACCTTCCCGCTCCCTGCCCCATAGGAGTAAGCAGGCAAGCTGCAGAGTAAACAATAAGCCAAAGTCCTGGGCCTCAYTGGTTTCTGTCCCTTGTTTTCACTTCATGCCGCGGTCTCGAGAGATGGCCTGCGGCAGATGGGGACCTGCAGTGCAGCCTTCACTGGGATCTGCTGCAGTAACATCTCCAAAAGCCAGTGGCAATAAAAGACTGTCTCTGGTCACATTGGCTGCAGGGTGATGTGATTCTGCCTGGGACCTGCGTTGTCTACYGTCACAAGTCCCAGTGGAAGAAGCYACTCCTGGTCTCGCAGCAATGGAGATGGGCACTAAGGCGGAACCAGGGGGTGGCTCTTGAATCCATGCTCAGGCCTGGYGTAGGCATTCTTGCCCTCGGCCAGAGCATCTCACATGACCACGCCTGACCTCAGCGGGGCACAGAAGCTCCCACATGGTCAGAGCTGTGTAAAACCCCTTACAGGGCAGGTGGGCTGTGACAGGGAGCAGCGACACCTATTCCGCGTGACTCCTGAAACCCCACAGCTCAGCTCTGCTGCCACCAAGACACTCAGGCACTGTCCTACCCCTTTAAAGCTCAGAGCTTTGCCAACCTGGACTCCAGGTAGTTTAGAGTACCATCAGCAAACATGGATTGTATGAGATTTGAACAGAATACCTCCATGTAGACACTTGTATTTAAATTACACAAAAAGCCACACACAACACTGTGAAAGTGACATTGTCCAAGAATTGTGCAATACAAGCTGCTAGGCACTTGCTGGCCTGAGGCCCTTCGACTCACTGTGGGGCGGGGAGGGGGGGCGGTGCGGTGCATAGGAAAGATGCTTCCTGCAGGCCATCAGGCCACTGCACAGGAAGCAAGTGCTCAGGACAGAGTGCTCTTTACATCTGGAGCATTTTCATGAACATTTAAACCCATTTGTTCACTTCTGGCCTGTGGAGGTGGATTTTCATTCACAGGATAGAAATGTGTCAGACCCCTACTGTGCGCAGCCCTTGGGAGGGTAGGCCATTGGGAATGCAGTCTGGTTTGGGCTTTCAAGGAATTTGGGATCTCCTGGGGGAGGAGCCTTCTCTGTGGTCCTGGCATTCAGGGGACAGGATGGTCGCAGGAGCAGCCTGCGCTGGGAGGTGGATCTGTACTGACCCTGCAGATCAGGGGACATTCCAAGGAGGCGCCTTCCAGGCTGAGTGGAAATTACTGGGGTATTCAGGGAACAGGGAGTGACCGGGTGTGGCTGGAGTGTGGAGCAGGCGGGGCCCTCTTGAAGCAGGACAGGTTCTGCCAAGGCCAGCGTCTGAGTGGCCTGGATCTGCCCAAGTTCTGCATAGCAGCGGTACCTCTGTCCTCGCCACCTGTCCCAGATGGCTATGGGGGTGGGCACAGTAGCGTAAGAACCCTCCCTCAGGCGTGCACGTGAGGAAGCCGCGTGTCGACCCCGCGTGTCGACTTGGGGTCCTGACTGTGGTCCACGCCTTCATACCTTAGCCCCTGCCTCTCTGGTCCCCTCTCTCCCCTTGAGTATCCAGTTGCCCTGGGTGACTCCCGCCTCCCAGGATCCCAGCCCTGGCCCTGAGCACTGTGCAGGCAGGAAGGCAGTGGCTGCAGGGCAGGAAGATGAGTGCCACCGTCTCTTTTTCGCCTCCCTCTCTGAATGATAAGGGTCCCCGATCCCTGGGTTGGAACTGCGTGGACACCTGGAGGAAGAAATGCTCTCCCTTGGGGCAAAGCCGGTGTCCCATGGCTCATCCTGTGGCTGGCACCAGGCACTCCCCCTGTGTTAGCTTCTTTGACAGCCCAGCGCTGGCAGCTGGAATGCACAGCCAGCTGGGCTCCAGTGTCTGGGCACACCCTCCCCCCACACTGGGGTCACCGCCAGCCAGAGGGACGCTGGCAGTGTCAGCAGGGGGAAGTGGAGCTTGCACTGGGTCTCAAAGCACAGGTGAGTCCTCTGTGCACAGAGATGCCAAGCAAGCAAGAGGCTGACACGGGAAATGATGGGCCACAGTGAGGGGTCCGTGAAAATCCCCACGGGAAAGCTGAACTGGGAGGGAGGCAGACCTGAGCCCAGACTTGGGCCTATCTGTGGCCCAGGGCAGTGGCCCTGGGAGGAACCAGGAGAATGAAGCCTCAGAGGGAGTGTCAGCATTCCCCGAATGGACAGATGCTTCCAGACAGTTCTGCGGCTCAGGAGGGGTGGGAAGGTCTCAGGAGGGTGGGAGGGTCTCACCAGGCAGAAACTCAGCTGCACGTGGAATGAACTGTCAGCATCTCTTAAGGCACTGCTTAGTCCACTGGTTAATGAAGCCCATTTGGCTGCCCTTGTGCTCGCGGGAATGGCTTTGAACTTGCTTGCCATCGTGGAAGAAGGGAAGAGGGCTCAGAATCATGGTCCCTCTGTGTCATTAGCACGTACCAYGGGCTCAGGGTCCCAGTGAGGGAGACTGAAGGGCAAGGTCAGGGGTGCAGGCAGGCTGGTTCCCTCTGTGGGTCCTGAGGAYAGCCTGGGCCCTCTCCCAGCCTCTGGTGGTTGCCAACTGTCCTTGGCACTCCTTGGCACATCACCATCTTGCCTCCTCGTCCCGTGACATTCTCCCTGTGTCCATGTTTCCACTTTTTATAAGGCCACACTGGATGAGGGCCATGATAATGACCTTAGCTTGGTCACCTATGAWGTCTGTCTCTAAATAAGGTTGCCTTCACGGCTACGGGGGCTAAGGCTCCAGCGTCTTGGGAGATGTGGTTACAGTTCAGCCCATCATCGTCCCCAGTGTGCCACCCACATGCCCACGAACAACCAGGATGGAAGTTCAGGAGGTCTCCACATCCCATCCTTTGCCTACTGAGGGGACGGTCACCTGTGGATCCACTRTGGGGTCCCTGGGAAGCAAGGGGCCCACTGGGCCTGGCCTGGCCTGACCGGGTGAAGGGGGCTCTGTGTGGCGCTGTGAGAGCAGCCAGGCAGGTGAGGGCAGTGCAGGTGCCCGAGAGGCGGCTCCAGGTCCACTTCTCCAGCAGACGTGGAATGTGGGGCCAGGCAGTTGCAATGGTGCTAGAGACTTGGCGCTGTGTGTAGTAGCTCTGAGGAAGATGTGTGATGGGTCAGTGAAAGAAAACACTGCGCAGAAGTTTGCATACGCTTTGAGTTCAAGTGCACACACGTTTCAAACAGCTTTATGGAGATGGAATTCACCCGCTTAGTCTAGCTCATTGACTTTTTGAGGATTCACACATGGTGACCATCACTGTGGGCCATTGTAGGGCACATTCACCACCCCAAAAGAGCCCACGCCCCTTAGTCCTCATCTTCCAACTGCCCCCCTCATCCTGCCCCCAAGCCTAGCCGACCACTGATCCACGTTCTCTCTAGAGTCTTCCTAGGTGCTTGAGTTTCATGCAACTTGATTTTTATTAGAAAAAACATTGAAAACACACCAGTGAAAGAAATAAGTATAATTTCCTTCTSTAATTTTTAAATATTTTTCCAATTATACCATAAGTATGAATGCTACTAGTCAAAGGGGATAGATTTTTGTTCAAAATATAGGGAGACCTGTCTTGTATTAAAAGTCCTTACGTGAACCCCACCYCACCAGACACCTGAATCACAGTCTTGTTTCATGGGAGAAAAACAGGGGTCCGAGTTCTAAACACCTGATCTGGATTGGCGTTCGGGGCAGAGCGTGGGGGGCGCTGGCAGGGCTTCTGCTGCCGCCAATTGTGAGATTTCCCCAGACCCCGGATGCAGGCACCTCCTGCCTCTCAGCTGCTCACCCTCCTTAATCAGGTGGCCTCGCCGCCCCTAACAGACTGCGGGTTGGTTCAGGTGAAAGGCTCTGTAATTAAGCCACAGGCCCTGYCTCTTTAACAACATCTGAGGCAGAGAGCCTAGTTCTACAAGGAGACAGGAGGAGGATGTGATTTGGTGTCCTTTTCCCGAGTCATTGTGAACTTTGTGCATGTAAAGTCTTGCATGCTTCAGGTATAAAAAGTGATCTGCTGTCCCAGTGATTGTACATGAGCTAAGCACTAAACGAGGTGACCCAGGGGTTGGGGACTCTGGGTGCCTGTCCCATGCACTTCGGGTTTCCTACCTCACTTTCTTTGACCAATAGAAGCCTGCACTGGGGAAAATGAGTGCATCTGGGTCTGTTCCAGGGACAGATTGGCCCTGGCCACCGTCAGAACCTSGCCCATGGCCTAAGCTGTGTCTGTGTTCCTCCATTAAATACAGGCTGATCCATCCCCCATGTTCCTTGGCACATCACAGCCCTGTCTGTGGGTTCTTAACCGGTCCTGTGGCTGGAACACAGTCGGACACRAGAGGGTCCTAAGATAGAACGCATAACTTCATGTGTGCACGGGCACTAGGAGGGTGTCCTTGGCTGACATAAAATTCTCAAGAAGGATCTCTGAATCCCCAGTTTGAGAAGTGCCCTGTTTGTGTTCTTGCCCTTTGACGCATCATTCCACCTGTCCACCCTGGTGACTTGTTCCTTGGGACTCTGGTTAGAAGTCCCCAACTTCCCTTAGTGTCCCCTTCTCTATGTCCCCACGGCTCTGCCCTGGCAGAGGTTAGCTTGTTGACCTGCCTGTTTCCCTCTCCAGCCCCTGAGCTCCCGGACAGTTGTTGCCCTGCCCCAGTCACAGCTGTGTCTGTGCTTGGACACGGAGGACAGAGACCTGAAGGGCCCGAATGGGAAGCCCCACCCAGTGCCTCAGCCCTGCCCATTGCCCTCAGGTCCTGGCCCCTGGGGACTGCCTCCTCCCGGGAGGCTGCGGGTACTTGCTCTAAGAGGCTGAGGCTGGTGGAAAAGCGTCTGCAGGGAGAATCYCACTTCCATCTGCTGTGGGGACTCACAAGGTGCAGAATGACTTTTAAATTTCCTTTTGACAAATTTTGAGCTCTTTGTCTTCCTTCCTTCCCTTTCAGATTGATGCACTGAGTAAAAGAAGCAAAGAAGCTGAGGCGGCCTTCTTGAATGTCTACAAGAGACTGATCGACGTTCCAGGTAAGCCTGGCCCTGCAGCCCACTGACAGGACATGGGATCTGGGGAATTGCAGGTCTCAGGCAGCGCCAGTTCCTCAGGAAAACCAGGGAGTCGTAGGAGACTGATTTTCCACACATGAATCCCTGCGCGTGACCACTGGATGCAGCTGTGAATTCTGGGTACAGAAGACTATACCTAGCGGACAGCAGACATGCCACCTCCCTGTGTGTGCTGGTGCTGCCTAAGGGACCTGAGGAGTGGCCCCTCTCTCTGGATTATCCAGGATCAATGACCTCTGCCAGTCTCCATTGGAGGGTCAAAGCTGACAGTCCCCTTAGCTATAACTCTTTTAAAGGAGCTAAAGGTTAAAATATAAATAATACTTGTTAGTTATTCTAAGAGGTGAAGGTTCCCAAGTCCTTATTTTAGAAAAGTGAGGCAGATTTCAGTGTCTTGAGCCTGCAATCCTGTTTGTGATTTCTAGGCTCCCAGGTGACTTAGACCTACTTAGGGGGTGGTGGACATGATCATGTGGGTCCCATCTCACTCCTAGAGACACTTTAATCAGAAAATTAGGAACCACATATGTGTGATAAGAAAACCAGTTACCGCCACCTTCCCCTTGGTGGAAGCTGCATGTTTGYTCTTACCAGTAACTCCCTGAATGCCATCGGCACCTGTACATGTCCCACTTCATGTCTACCATGATGTCTGCTGTCTTCYCTTGAGCTTAGGTTAATAGAAGCCACAACAAACAAGGGACAGGTGAAAGCATTTTGGACAGGGAGCCAGTAGACCGAGTCTCACACCATGTTCTTGTTAGATCTTGATGATATTTCTTTTCCTGCTTGGATCTCTGTTTTCTCATCTGTAGAGTAGAGCAGGTTGGGGGGACAGCCAGGAATGCTTTTCTCTGTTCTCATCTTTTGTCATCTGAGGAATCCATTGCACTCTTGTAAATTTTGGCCTTAGGATTTTCTGCCAAAGTTTGTATTTGACTAGGGGTTTCCTGAAGACTGACCAGAGCTTACAAGGTGCCCCCTTCACTATAGATGGGCTCTTCAGTACCCAGGGTGCTCTGTTCCTCGGGTGTCAGCAGATGGGTGGACACCACTTTTGTTTTCTTGAATGTAAGGTGACATCCCAGAATGTCATTTCCACACTGACTCAAGAATTTACGTGAAAACTGCAGCCTGGACTTTGATCAGTTCGATTTTCTATTTTCAGACTTGCTTCTTTGAGTGTTCTGTCGGCTCCTCCTGCCCACATGCATGGGTTCTGTTCCATCCCATTCCCACCAGCTCCTGGCCTCACAGCAGGGTCTCTCAAGTTTGTGTTCCCGCCAAGAACTTGGTGTCTGTCATCTTGGGGACTTAGTTCAAGGAGGCTGACTCAATTCGTCTTTGCCAAAGCTGTTGTTTTCTAAAAAACCTATTCTCCTTTGTACTGGGTTTCCCTCATAAACTTTCCTAAGGGAGCAGCCACGTAACARTCGTGTTAGATTCCTTTGTCTGCAGTTACTTTGTGCCTTAATTTCCCATAGAATACAAAGAGACAGTTTTYCTTACCCCATGTGCTTTGCCCAATCAGGCCTTGCTCGTTTCTGTATACGAACTTCATAGAATTTTGATCACAATGTGGCTCTAGATGTACATTCTGCTCTTTTCATTTAATATCATACCATAAGCATTTTTCCTACATCAGTGATCTTCCTAATTATCATTTGGGGCTGGAAAATTAAAGTTCACATTTTAAATTTTAGATGGTAGGACTAAATAAGATTGGAGTTTTCCTATAATAATAAAGTCAATCAAAAAATATCTGCATTCCACGTAGGTCATTTCTGCCTCCACCTCCCAGGTACTTCCCACAGATGCTGTGGTCTGACCCATCTGACAAAGCACTTAAAGAGCAGGAAGGGTGCCCAAAGCGCTCTACCTGTTCTGAAGTCGGCTTTTTGCTCAGATGAAGTCATTTGTGGCTGAGGCTTACAGGAAGGGCCTGGTCAATAGCCTTGCATTTACTGACCGCCACACACTAGGTGGGGTCAAGGTGTCTGACTATCTTGTGCTTTGGCTGTCAGCCCCATGGAACCCAGAAGCGCTGTGGGTGTGTTAAGCTCTCCAGGTTACAAGAGGCAGCAACTCACGTTATCTCAGGAAACTGGAGGAAGCTGACAGGTATTTCAGCTATGTGCCGTGTGGCTGGGCTCCAGCAGCCCAGGCAGAGYGGGCAGTTGCCCCAGGAAGGGGCGGAGCTCCAGACCCACGCAGCCAGGGATTGGCAGAGACCTGACTAATCAGCCACCACTTGCCTCCTTTCCCAAATCTTATTTGTTGTTTCTTGTTTCTCTTCTGCTGACCCCACTAGAGGGAGGACAGGGCTTTGCTTTATTGCTCTTGCCCAGCATCTGGGTCACAAGCAGGTGCAACAAGGTGAGCAGTGAACCTATCAGCAGGTCGAAAGCCTCCCTCCCACCAGAATCCGCAGCATCAGGTTCACAGGGTCACCCTGGTGACTGCAGCTTTACCTTTGATCTAGCTCTCACTCCTGAGCGTCGGCCTGTAGGTCCAGCTGCCTCCTGAGCTTTCCGCTGGCACAACAGCGGGCACCTGCACCTATCCCGTGTGGCCCACAGAAGCCATCCCCTTCCAGCACCCTTTTCTATTGAACAGCACCTCCTGCCCTCATCTGTTCATGCCAGGGCAYTCGGTCACCAAGTCTTGGCCATTCCACAAAGAATGTGTCTCGATTCCATTTCTGCTCCCATCCCAGCTCCTCCCCACACTCTACAGTCAGGCCAGAACTTGAGTCACTCTGCCCTCCTCCCATCGCCCGCCTGTCCCACCTTACATCTCCACTCGACTGTGCTCCCTGACACAGTGTGCCCTGACCCCCTAGGTCTAGCCTAATCCACCCCAACACATATGTCTGTCTGTCTGTCTGTCTCTCTCTGTCTCTCTCTCTCTCTCTCTCTCTCTCTCTCTCTTAATCCACCCCAACACATAGCTCTCTCTCTCTCTCTCTCTCTCTCTCTCTCTCTCTCTCTCTCTCTCTCTCTCTCACACACACACTCACACACACACACACACACACACACACACACACACACACTCTGAGCCCAAGACCCTGTATTCACCACTATTGCAACTACATTCACAGGCTGCATAAGTGACATTTTGTTCAGCGATGGGCCACATACCTAACGGTGGCCCTGTAAGAATCAATCGGCGGGTGATGACCTGGCTGTCTTCGTTTGTGTTCATGCTCTGTCTTGTGTCCAGACTCTAAGGACACATTTCTCAGAATGCACCCCCCCATGAACACCCGACAGTGCCGAGGCAGCATGGTCCTGTCCCTCATCATGTCCCTCTTGTCTGTTCCAGTATTTGTCAAGCGAATGCATAAATTAGTGACCACACCTTCCTTTCAGCGCACTCTGGAGTTGTCTGGCGCGGCTTCACCTGACTGCCTGAGCCGMGTTCTGGAGGTGGGCACTCCCCTGAGGGCACGCCTAGCCCTGAGGAGCACTAGGCGATACCAGTTGCGAGGGAGCCAGACACACCCTCCATTGCTGTAGCAGCTGATAGCTCTGAGCCCTGTGCAGCCTTGGAGTCCCTCTGTGAGGATGACGTGCCCACGTGGACATTTACATGGCCCTTGGCACTCCAGCACGTGCCCTCCGAGGCCTTTGGTTCTGTGGCCAGTGCTCCGTGTCCAGCATCAGCATTCAGTGAACAGCCATCCTGCTGTCGTCCCGCCTCCTAAGCCTGAGCGTGGGATCTCCCTCCGCCTGCCCACCGCCCTCCTGCCACTCCCCTTCCATGGCCTGCTCGGCTAGTCCCAGGGAGAAAGCTGACACCGACGTGATGCTGCGCCTTCCCCATCCAGTGTTTCCSTGATCTCCTTAGTGTTCTGGGTAACATTTAGATACATAGTAGCATTGTACAGTCCTTGTCCTGACAGTCAAGATGGTTGAGATTGGTATTTCTGGTCTTTGTCTTTTGCCACCAGATCACTCCTCATTTCTTAATCAGTTTTGAGAATATTTTGACAGACATTTTTTGGGAAATATCCTCCTTTAGCCACACCACATTCTTCTTCCAAAGTGCCATGACCCTCGTCTCCCTGGTGTCACTGGGGCTGCCCCACAGAGACACAGCAGCTCAGGTCCCTGCCCTCAGGGACCTTCGAGTCTGGCAGGAGTGTGAGCATCAGTAAGTAATTACACCCCTGCACGGTGGCACACACCCGAAGTTCAGTTACCCAAGAGGCTGAAGCAGGGGGATCACTAGTTCAAGGCCAGCCTGGGCAACTTAGTCAGACCCTGTCTGGACAAATAAAAAGGACAGGGGATGTGGCTCGGTGACAAAGTGACTCTGGGTTCAATTCCCAGTGCTGGAAAAAACAACGTAATTACACAAACAATTGCTGAATTTTAGGTGTGAGAAGGCACAGCTGGCAAAGGCCACCCAGGAGAGAGGGCTGAATAAGGAGGGTGGAGCCAGGAGCAGCCACTGTGGAGTGGGCACCAAACACGGCCCAGAGAGAGCTACGGCGTGCGGAGCCTGCCSAGGAGGACCTGGCACACGGGGAGAACACAGGAGGAGAGGCCCCTGAGAGCCACAGGCTGCAGCATATCACTTGCCACAGCGGGGTGGGGGACACTCCTGCTGTGCGGATGGTCTGAGCAGGTGGAGGACCGCCTGGCTGCAGGGGATAGGTTAGTGAAAGCACTGGACACCTCCCAGCAGAAGCCAGTGCCGGGTTTAAAGCAGGACGTGGTTTGATCCGAGCTGTGCCTTGGCTGGATCATCCCACACCAGTTTGGACAAGAGATTAGAAAGGAGTGCGAGGTGACATGGGAGACTGGCAGAGGGAGGGTGGGGTGCTTGGTTTCAGTGGTGGAGGTGAAGTTGGCGAGAAGGAAACAGATCTTGGCTGTACGTAGGTGGGGGGAYGTACTGACTGCCCGGACAGCTGTCTCGGGAGGTAGCTAAGGCAGTGCTGTTACCTCATC